TGGCCCTCTACCACTGGCAGCTGACACAACCTCACTTCCACCTGTAGGCTCAACAACCATCTCCCGCTCTGGGATCAGGCTTGACCCAGGCGGAGAAACTGCTGGGTCTCCTAAGTGGTTCACTGGCTCAGCACTGAATGAGTCCACTATGCCTGTGTTTTTCTCTGGCATCTCAAATGCTTGGTGGTTTTCTGGTCTTATTTTGGGGGCTGGGTGCTCAACATCTATCATTGGGTCATCTCAATCCAGTTTCGATTCGTTTTGTGTCAATTGCGAGTTGGTTTTGATGGATCCTTCAGATCCTCAGCCATGTTTCGAACTTAGGGAAGGGTACTCCTACCTTTCTTGGCTTCTGGCCACCTGAAGTGATTTTAAGTCTGCCTTGTGACTTTATATCCCGAAGGGTAGCAGGGCTCTGCTTCTGTTCTTCCATTTATATCCTCAGCATTGGCCTATCTGCTGTGTCTATACTCTCACTCCTGACCTTCTCCGGTCCCAACCAACCCTCCATGAGGGAAGAGAGGTAGAGCTGAAAGTTACCTTGGAGCGTTTCCCAAATTTTAGTCATTAATATACCACCTTTATGGTTTTTTGCCATATAGGTAGATCATCTGAGCCACAATTTACCTAATATTTTTCTTTATATTGACTAAATTCCTTAACCTAAATATCTACTTTACCCTCATTCTAAGGAATGGTGTTCATAAAATCATAGACTGGAGACAGCAGTTATCTTTCTGCAACACACGTTTAGTATAAATTCCAAAGGAATAAGTTTAAGGAATTTTGCTAAGTACTTTCTTATGTACATAACTTGTGTACAAGTAGCAACTTGGGAAATAGTGATCTGGTCTATGTCTCCATTTTACAGATTGGGAAACCTGTTTCCTAGGTCTAGTGCCTGCTTTCACTATGCCTGGGGTCGTTAGTCAGGGGTGCTGCACACAGTGACTCGGCCATCGTTGACATATATGAAACAATCAAACCACAATACACAACGTGCCCAGGAACTCAGTGTGAAGGACCCTAATCCAGTGGTGCTCGGGTGGCACAGCTGGTGAAGCATCCGAATCTTGATTTCAGCTCCGATCATGACCTCACGGTTTTTAGGATCGAGCCCCATGTCAAGCTCTGCGCTGACAGTGTGCAGCCTGCCTGGGATTCTCTCTCCTCCGTCTCTCTCTACCCCTTCCCCACTCTATCTGTCAAAATAAATAAACATTTTTTTAAAAAAGGATCCTGATCAATACCTTGCCATGAAAGACAGACAGGCTGCCTGACTGCCAGATTGTATACGTGCTGGGCACCTCTAGTAATAAAGTGAAAAAACACTATCACCTTAGAGTCTTGGAAGAGAAAACAACAATGAATTGTGAAACACCCCCTAAAATATGACATCATCAACCGACACAGAATTTGTGAGGGACTTCCTTGTTCTCTCGTCACTGGGATGTCCGCTTCTGGCCTGTGTGTCCACTAGGTCCCATCTCTGCCTGTACGTCTAATGGAATCTTTTGTTTCTTCCAGGGACTTCAACACATTAGAGCTTTCTGCAGCTCGCTTGTCTGCTCTAAAATGTGCACCCTGACCCGTGAAAGGCCTGTGTTGAAGCGTTCATGGACGATCCAAGGCTTCTCATTTTAGAATTGCCACCAGGCAAAGTCCACGTAGAAGCACAAAGAAGCCCTTGCCAGACAGATGGAGCTTTGTGGCAAAGGGCATACTCGGCGCGCTGGTCCGGGCGACTCCCGAAAGCTTAGGTGAGCGCTGTGACTGTTTGTGACTTTGCATCTGTAGAAGAAGGCCACGTTGTCTGCACTGTTGTTATACCAAGACCCGGGTTAGACTTTGTTCCCATGTGTGTGTCCTCAGCTTTCATCCAGCTGGTTCATTTAGAAAGGAAGCATCTTAGTGCCACTTACCCTTTTTTGACCATCTAAGTAACTTCAAATAGTCCTGGTGTGTGTGTGTGTTCATGTGCATACATGTGCATGCATGTATCTGTCTGTCTTTGCTGGAGGTGTTTGGGGTATTTTTATCTGCTTTAAAAAACCTGGAAACATTAAAAAAATTAAAAAAAAAAGGGGGGGCGCCTGGGTGGCTTAGTCGGTTGGGCATCCGACTTTCGCTTAGGTCATGATCTCGCGGTTCGTGGGTTCGAGCCCCGCGTCGGGGTCTGTGCTGGCTGCCAGCTCAGAGCCTGGAGCCTGTTTCAGTCTGTGACTGCCTCTCTCTCTGACCCTCCCCTGCTCACGCTGTCTCTCTCTCTCTCTTCTAGAAATAAATAAAACATTAAAAAAAAATTAAAAAAAAAACCTGGAAACCATGGTGGGGTAATATATCTCATTTTTATCGGAAACTAGCAACATTTCCCATCTCTATTGCCCGTATGTGATTTGATATCAAGTACAGGGACTCAGGAAAACACAACTGAGTTCAGATGCAAAGAAGGTCACTAGAGGAAACTGAGTTGCAGCTCAAAGTGTGGTGAGTTCATGGTTTCATTAGGCAGACTGACATGACGCTAGGCATCACATCCTTTCCGAAGGAAGACTTTACTTGTCCTTGTAGTAGGTTTCCACCCAATGTCTCAGGATTCTGAGTCCTGGGGAGGCGTTCAGCTAACCATTCTTTCCCCCACCCTGTCCTAATGATTCTCTCTTGCAGTTCTCTCACTCCATAGGCTTTCATTTCTGTCAGATCTGGGTCTCAAGTTGAAGCCAACGCTCATCTGAAGGATTGCCAGTAGGAAGAGGCAGGCCTGGTTACAAATCTAGAATGGGGGAGGGCTTTATGGATCATCTGGTCATCTATGTGCATGGCTCGCACCTCCCTACGAGGTGGAGCCTGGCTCCAGGAGTTGAGTTGGCGGACAGCCTCCATTTCAGGATCTGCCTCAGCTCTCGGGAGGGAGGTATGTGCTCCCCAGGCAGCTGCCAGCCAGTGGCTGAACCACGTGGTGGTGCAGTGGCTCACCGGTTCGGGGCAGCATGGGGGTCTTCACAGCGGAGCTCCCGGTTGGGTTGGCTGAGACTTTCTCTGAACCATACCGCCGTCTGAAGCTCTTCTCGTCAACCTTCCTCCCTCTCTCTCTCCTTTGCTGATAGCAGAAGCTCTGCCTTCCCACTGGTGATCTTTTATTTTCCACAGGTTTCACTCGCGGTTAATGTCTTGCACTTCCCATTGTATCTCAGTGTCTGCTTCCAGGGGACCCAACCAATACATCAATGACCTTCCCACTCCTGTCTGAGTTTTACAGTAACGGAAACTGAGGTCCCAAGGAGGTGAAGTGACGTACCCGAGGTCCCATAGCTAGGTAGTAGCAAAGTCGGGATGACAGCCCAAACTTTCTGACCCCTAGTGCGGTGCTCTCTCCCAGACTTCGGCAGTCCACGCACCACAGCCACATGGACAAAAACCAGATTTTGCTATGTGTTTATCCCCCAGGCTCTCGTTTTCATGACACATCTGACACATTAAAAAATTAATTTGTTTGTTGGTAAATCTCTATGTTAGTCCTGTCTGAAGCAATAACATCCATGAAATTTGGATTTTGAGGTGCTAGTTGTATACTTTTCTAACACATATTAAATAACACATGGCCATTATAATAAAAAAGTTTGTGTGTGCACTAGTCAAAGTCATCTCATACGGTGTCAGTGACGGCCGAACCCTGGGTTGCATAAGGCAGGACCGAAAGAAAAGGGAAAGGGAGGGAGGAAGGAAGGAAGGAGAGCAAAATACTTATTGATGAGAAAGAAATGGTAAAATCCCATCAATAACTGCCTCAGGTGCCTTGCTGGGACATCTGTGTTTCCTGCCAAACCCTGGCCTAACTTCTAATGAGTCAGCAAACAGCCTTTACTTATTGGTTGCCTAAAAAACCAAATTGAATGCATTCAAATGTAAATGAAGAATCAAGATCTCTCCTCCTAAAAGAGTCAATTCATTTATCCCCCAAATGGTCTGAAGTGCTCTACTTTGAGCAATTTATTGGAGAAGACGCACACTACATTTCAAAGCAGTAGCTCTAATCTTCTTATAAAGTGTTCGAATGAACACACTTCCTGAGAAAGAGGTTTTAGTAACGTTTCCTTTCTCATTTAGAAAATATTCATTACTACAACAAAATAAGATTTTTTTCTTTGATTTAAGGAATCTAAGAATATAATTATAATAATCTTTCACCTTTGTTGCTATTCTTTTGGTGCAAGAGCTCTGTAATGATCATCATTCCGTTGTGCTAATGAAGCAAAATCGGGGTTAGAACTCATGCTACGTAATAATTTAATAGATTCTGGGTATCGTAGCGATAATTTAACATTTCTCTTTCATTTCATGGAGATGGCAGTATTCCAAACCTCTGCTAAACAGATATTATTGATTCAGAAGCCATTTTGTTAATTCCTAAACCAATAGTCTTTTTGGAGGAAGAACTATAAACTAACCTAATGAAAAGCAAGCTTCTAGAATGTCACAAATTTTAAAGGCATGGGGAAACATGAAGGAAAAGCTTCAGGTTGTGTCTTATTAGAAGTATAAAGGGGGCTGTGCGCTTTAACAGGCTCCCTTGATGTTCTGTTCAGACCTACTTCTGGCCTCTGGTTTGAAAAGATCTGGTGGTGGTCTGCTTCTGGAAAGACAAATCCAGTACTGACGGGTGCATATACTTGGGTTAATTGGGGACAGAGTCCGTTTCCTGTGTCCCCTGTCTTTCCTGGTCTATTTCAAACTTGAGTAAGATGGTTTACATTTCAAATCCAAATTGAATCTAAGAATAATCAGTGAAGAATCATGTCAAATTACTATGTTTTAAATGAGGAGGGACTATCAGCTTCACAGCTGAAACAGAGAGAGCATAATTGAGAACAAGGCTGTTGCGTTCAGGGTTTGGTATTTACTGACTCATTTCTTCAAGCGTGTAGAGAACACGTTAGGTTCTTCACGTATTTCTTTTTTGGATGATTACAGACGACACAAACGAAATAACTTGTTCTTACCAGGTTAGCAAGCATGTAGTGATAACCTCTTGAATGTTTTCCCAGCGTCACAACCTGCGGAAGAAATAAGAAATGCTGCTTACTTAAGGAGGGCATTTTCAGTTCCCCAACCAATGGGAAATGCAATAATCAATCAACCGGCTAGAGCAAATGACTTTTAAGTGAGCAACAGAGTGTTAGGTCTGTTATAGACAGTAAAGATCGCAGTTAGCTGGGCCAGAGTTCTTTTTGTACATTTCCATTTCAGGCAGAGGGCACAGGAAAGCTTGCTAATATTAAAGTAAGAGTGTCAACAACGAGGGACAAAAAGCTCTCTAAACTTCCAGGTCAGTAGCATCACTGTCACTTAAAATAGACGGCAGCAGTGATGAAGCGGACGATCCAACCCCCCCCCCCCCCGCCGTGAACTGGAGTGTGTACTTAGCTGCTGAGATGGAAAACGGGCTGAACTTGGAATACAAATTAGAAAACAGAGTGTACAGTACATTTTTGTGTTGTTATCTGGAATGCTTACGGAACAGAACACTCAAGGAATGGGGTTAATGGGATTTTCAGGTTAATCGAGGCTGCTTTTGCCTATTGAAACTTTTTGAAAATGCTTACCTTCCTTTTCCTGCCTAAGTATGAAAGATCTGGGACCCTTTGTCCAGCTTTTGGTACCAAATGTGATGCCTTAGGGTCGTGGGGGGCGGGGCTTTCCCCCAAGGGGACATTTGGAGGTGCCTAGGGGCACTTTTTGGTGTCACATCTGGAAGGGTGCCAGTATCTAGTGGGTAGAGGCCAGCGATGATGCTAAATGTTGTACGGTGCATGGGGAGGCCTCCCCCAACAAAGAATGAGCTGGTAAACAAGGTGTCAGTAGAGCCGAGGCTGAGAAATCCTGCCCTGGGGTCATTCTTATCATCATTTTCATGAGTAACACTATTAATTCTAAGCCTTACAGTTTACCAAATGCAATTTTGTTGTTCCAAAACATGTAAGTGGACTGAATAATTTCCAACCAAATGTATTGGCTGTCAGTTGGAAGTTTTCGACTAAATATTTGACATTAGCTTATTTCCAGAGAGCTAAGAAGGGCAAATTCTGGTGAACTGACGATTTTATAAAATGTCATTTTATTAAGTACTGAGTGTGTACAAAGCACCGTTCTGAATACAGGGAGTTGGGACGAGGAGGGGATGACACAGAGGTGATAGATACAACCAGGAGTGGAATCAGCTTTTGTTCTAGGCCTGTAGCCAATACCACTTTAGCAGCCCTCTTTAAGAAAAGCAATACACAATTATGAACAATAAAGCCTTGGAAGGAACCCGTGCTGGTAAGGCGAAATTCAGCTTGAGGTTCATGTTAAGTTCCGTCATGGACACAGCTATCGAAGAGTTTAAAAACAACTTAGGGGGCGCCTGGGTGGCTCAGTCGGTTAAGCATCCGACTTTGGCTCAGGTCATGATCTCACGGTTCATGGGTTCGAGCCCCGTGTCGGGCTCTGTGCTGACAACTCAGAGCCTGGAGCCTGTCTTCGGATTCTGTGTCTCTCTCTCTGACCCTCCCCTGCTCATGCTGTCTCCCTGTCTCTCTCAGAAATAAAGAAAACATTAAAAAGAAAAAGAAAAAAAAGAAAAGCAACTTGGGGAGACAACAAAACTGCACATGTCAAACCAGAACTATATCTCAAAGGCCATAATACTAGTCAACGCAACTGCCTTTAATCGAGTGTCTAGTATATGGCAGATACTGTGCTGGGTGTTTTACGTGTATTTAATCCCTAGAACAGTTTAACAGATTAAATGTTGTTTGTTTCATTTTGCAGATGAGAAGCCTCAGAAAGAGAGAGTTGAAGCAATACGCCCAAGGCCACATGGCTCAGAAGCGGTAAAGGTGGAATTAGAACCTGAGTTCTGTCTGTCTCTAGAACCCATTGGGTTGGTGGTACATTACATGGTTCCTTAATATGTGCTACTTGTCAAATATCCATAATTGTTCTTGTTCTTGGAGGAGAGGAAGAAAAGTTATCTAAGTCCTGCTGGGATGGATCAGGAAGGCTTCCTGGAGAAGACAAGGTTTATGCCGGCCCAGAGGAGTGGAACCACATGTATGTATGTTTGCTTGTTTGTTTGTTTTTTAAAAGTTTATTTATTTATTTTGAGGGGGGGGCAGAGAGAGGGAGAATCCCAAGCACAAAACCCTTGCTGTCAGCACAGAGCCCGGTGCAGGGCTCGATCCCATAAGCCGTGAGATCGTGACCTGAACCAAAATCAGGAGTTGGTTGTTTGACCGACTGAGATACCCAGGCACCCAAGTACCGTACTTTAAAAACATTTCTTTTAATGTTTATTTTTGAGAGAGAGAGACAGAGTGCAAGCAGGGGAGGGTCAGAGAGAGAGGGAGACACAGAATCCAAAGCAGGCACCAGGTTCTGAACTGTCAGCACAGAGCCCGACACAGGGCTTGAACTCACGAACCATGAGATTGTGACCTGAGCCAACGTCAGATGCTCAACTGACTGAGCCACCCAGATGCCCCCCAAGAACCACATATTTAAATATAATGTTTATCATGCTGGCATTAGAAGCTCTCCAGTCATTTCAAGGACTGAGAGACAGAGAGAGAGAGAGAGAGCGGGGGGGGGGGGGGGGGACTATGGAAGGGAAGCCCAGCACTATTGACAGCACATGGCTGTTACAAGAACTAGGGAAAGACTTGCTAGAAAGTTTCCCAAGCTTGTTGAGGATAGAGGGGGGGGGGGGGGGGGGGGGGCTGTTTTCGATTAATTTAAAATATGAGCCACATTTCTGACTGATTATTTATGGAGGAAATGAAAGGTTAATGAATGTCTTGAGGAAGTGATTTCTCACGCTGCCACGACACAAAGTGAGCCGTTAGGTATCTGCTGGGATGTATTCTTCAGTGTCCGCTTTTGAGAAACATCCTTACTAGTGACATTTGTTAACTTTTGATGGCAAGTTGGAGCCATACATTTGTTGAAATTTTAATTCACTGACAACCCTCAACATAATAAAATCAGAGGGTTTTGAATTCTGCCAGAAAAATGAGCAAGATTCCTGAGGACATCTAGCAGACAGAGCTCAGAGCGATAAAGCAGCAAGCCCAAAGGACATGGCGTCTTTGTCACCAGAGGAAGGGTTTAGTGTCCTTTTGAGCAGAGGGAAGGTGAGAGGGAGCTGTGGCAACATCGGTGGTGTGAGCAAAGCCCCGAATGAGAACCCCGGAGCCCAAACTTGTGGCACATTCACTGTTGCTTGTGGGCGAATTACTCAACTTACCCCAGCCATCATTTCCTTATCTGTAACCTGGGGCAATGAACCTGACCCTTCCTATCTCAGCAGTGCCATCAAGATCAAACTGAAGAACATCTACGGAAATGGTCGGGATGTACCTCATGGAATTACGTGAGGTTAAATAACCGTGGGAGGGGGTCATTCCCTGACACATTGTGTGTTGGGTTCAGAAAACCTTGAAGCTATTGGAATATGTGCTTCGGTGCCTGCCCAGTGGGTCTGTTCAGAAGAAATTCACTTATTTGAAGATAGCTGTCTCACATCATCACCTTACAAAGCTTAGCTTCCACTGCAAGAGATGGGGAAGTCATGTGAGGATAGGAACCTTTATGTGTCACAGAGCTGCTGCCTAGAAGGCCATCATTATTTCCTCATCCTCACTTTCAGTGCCTTCTTAACTCTTACTTGACATACAGCTCTTAACAATCTTAGTTTTTCAGTTCACAGTGAATGAGAAGCTGCCAATTAGAAGGGGTGTGTATAGAGGGAGGGGGTATTAGAAAGAGGTAAGTGAGCAGCAGAAGAAGTGACAGACAGACTTAGAGGAACAGCAAACAGCATCGTATGGTGTGATCATGGATGTTCGTCGTGATTGCCTGAGTCATCGGGGTACGGTCTGTTGGTGTTGGTAATTTCTGCTGGGAAAAAAAAAAACCCATAATACACTTTGTGGAAGGTTTCCATCAGAAATGGTCAAAGTCCAGTCCTTAAGAGGGTACACTCCACCTTCTCGAATTTTTTTTTTTTTACAAATAGTTTATTGTCAAATTAGTTTCCACATAACACCCAGTGCTCATCCCCAAAGTGCCCTCCTCCATGCCCATCCCCCCTCCCCCCCACATCCATCAGTCCTCAGTTTTTGTCAGCATTCAAGAGTCTCTCACGGTTTGCCTCTCTCCCTTTCCCCCACCATTTTCCCCCTTCTTCTCCCCCTTGTTCCTCCGTTAAGTTCCTCCTAATCCTCCTATACGTGCAAACATATGATATTTGTCCTTCTCTGCCTGACTTATTTCACTCAGCATAACACCCTCAAGGTCAATCCATGTAGATACACATGGCCAGATTTCATTATTTCTCATTGCCATGAAGTATTCCATGGTATAGATAAACCACATCTTCTTGATCCATTCATCTATTGATGGACACTTAGGCTCTTTCCATGTTTTAGCTATTGTGGAGAGTGCTGCTATGAACATTGGGATCCATGTGCTCCTATGCATCAGCACTTCTGTGTCCCTTGGGTAAATTCCTAGCAGTGCTATTGCTGGGTCCTAGGGGAGTTCTATTGTTAGTTTCCTGAGGAACCTCCACTCTGTTTTCCAGAGGGGCTGCACCAGTTTACATTCCTACCAACAGCGTAGGCCACCCTCTCGAAATCTTACTTCTACAAGGCAGCAGCAATCCTACTGACGTGAGCTAAATGAGGCCTTACTGCGAAAAGTGTCAAGTTTTGCACTTAGTCTTTCCCTTGTTTGAATTTTTGGTGCAGAGCTTGTGGGAGTGAGGGTTGTGTGTGAGAGAATGCACAAAAGGACTAGTTAATGGGACTGATTCTTGTTCAGTTAGTCTTCGATCTTTATTCTTTCCATCTGCTATAGACGAACAAGGCATACATTGTACCCTTAGTAATTTAATGACTCTGCTACCAAGACAATATTCAACTTTGCTTTTACAGTAATTATAATAGCTCTTTCTGAATTAGTTTCAGAACTTCAAGACTTAATGGTCTACTGTGAAATTTAAGGAGGAACTTCT